CTACGAATGGTAAAACTCACTGACGATGCCGACTACGATGCCGGCGAAACGTTCACTTGTCTCTTTGACTAACGGTCCGACTTTGGAAATAATTATGCATACAATGGACTCAGGACAAGGTGCGTCTGTGAATGTACCACGTCCACGGTCCGACTTTGGAAATAATTATGCATACAATGGACTCAGGACAAGGTGCGTTGATGTACCACGTCCACGGTCCGACTCTGGAAATAATTATGCATACAATGGACTCAGGACAAGGTGCGTTTCGGAAAGTACCACGTCCACGGTCCGACTTTGGAAATGATCATGCATACAATGGACTCCGGACTAGGTGCGTTCCTCTAGTTTACTCTGGAAACGATGATGCATACAATGGACTCCGGACTAGGTGCGTTTCTTTAAGTCTTCCTACCAATATGGCCATGTTGCGAAAACAAGGTCAAACAACCTCTATACAACGAAAGGAGACTGCGACCACACAAAAGGTTACACCATTCTATACAACGAAAGGAGATTGCGACCACACAAAAGGGCACACCAAGTTGCGAAAACAAGGTCAAACAACTTCTATTCAACGAAAGGAGACTGTGACCACACAAAAGGCCACACCATCTTGGTCTTGTCGAAAACAAGGTCAAACAACTTCTATTCAACGAAAGGAGACTGCGACCACACAAAAGGCCACACCATCTTTAGAAAACAAGTTCAAACAACTTCTATACAAAGATAATTTGCATTTACTATATCAACATAAGTAGCCAATAGACGACCAACAATGTGATATAAGAAAGAAACAAAGGATGAAAATAATGATATACAGGATAGACTTACCAGAGTGAACACTATCAACGCGGAAACGAGGTTCGCATGCTATATGCATTTTGCCAGTTGTATTGCAGACTATCCTCTCCTGCTTCTTTTTAAAGTTTGTATTTGCTGACCTGTGGTCTTCATTACGGTATGCCTCCAGCTCAGACAAACACATGCCCCATCGCTGCTCCTTAGCAGCAGAAGCGCCCGGCCTGGTCATAAGACGCAATGAAATTAAGCCATCCGGCAAGGTTTCTTGATCTTTATCGAGTCTTGATCGGGGCCGTGAGCAACTATTGCGTGAATATTGGTTAGTGTGATTCTGGCCGCAGTGCGATGAAAGCGCATCTTGTGAGCCCTCAGGCATTACCTGACATGTCGATACCTCAGCCTTCCGATCGAAACTGGAGTGACCATTCGACACTGATGACAAGGATGAAAAAATTGCATCAGACTTCAGATCAAAATTGGTCCGGGGTTCAGCAACTGCTAAATGGGAGTTGTCATCTAAAGCTAGTCGACTGAAAATAGGTTCTTCAGCACTTGGAGCAAAAGAGGCAAGGCCAGATGGCGAATTACCATTAATTGGAGAAGCAACATTGTCATGAATAGTACCGGAGTCAGGCTGAGTTCGTGAACGTTTACATATGGAGGGCGAAGAGAGAAAAAAGCAGTTAGGGGTGAAGCGAAGAGCCAGATAAATAGAATGATCAGTCTTGGTGATGACAACAGTATTAAATAATGCTATAAAATTTCCTATTCAAATAAATCAACAAACTTATTATAGAGAGGTACTTTTAGAGTTAATAATGCCCTTAGTGTGTGGGAGTTGTGTATTTATGGTTTGAACGAGAGCAAGCAACGCTCAAAGTGTGCGAAATATTTTGCTATTAGGGAAGACTAATAGAAAAGCCATAAGACAATAAGGATCATATCTAATCAAAAGTTGTGGTTATATTATGTAGGTATAAATATGTAGTTGTGATTTTTCGCTATAACGATAAACTTTGTTAGATCGCATTCGCAGCTATCTACCAACATTCCCAACACAAAGGCATTTGTGAGTACCTCTCATCCGTCGCGTCTAACAATAAAATCTCGCCACCGTAACGAAACTACGGTTGAACCGATCATACTGTGACCTCCCGCATTAATCAAAGCCGAAATTAACACAAGTTAAGAGCTTCGCAGGAATAAGTCCTGGCTCTTAAAATTCGTAATTGTCCAATCTTCCCTAGGGCATCCGGCCTTAGTTCTCGCGTGCCATTCCCTGTTGTATACCAGCGATTTGCATTATGGAATCGTCTGTATAAAGTTCCGACTTATTAATCTATAACTTGGATCCACTCACCATGACAGCCATATCGTCAAATAAGCCAGGAAATTTTCCGGATGTCAAATGCATGCCTCTACTAATGTATGCATCGTTTACGTACAGCGCTCCTTACCTCATTGCATCTGTGGTGGCAGAAGTTGTTTGGATAACCGTGAAAGGAAGGCCGGGCTTAACTCGCGTCTATGCTCCAGATAAAGTCTTTTAGCGATCGGTTCTTTAAATCCACATCTATAAGACTAGCCTTACTGTGCAGAAACTGAGTAGGACCAACTTCAAATCAACGCCTCATATCCGTGTTAAGCCTTCGCAACTCCCTATTCGTTGGTATTTCCCGCGATGGCAAGAACTCTCTGAAAAAGTGTCTCATTTGTCCTGTTCCATATTCATGACAGACACAGATTTTATCCTTATTAGAATCAATAAACCTTGAAGATCGTAGATATGAACACCAAGATAGTGTGGCTTTCTGTTTAATTGCAGTCTCCTTTAATGTTGGTTCGACCTTGTTTTCACAACTTGGTCGGAGCGTCAGGGAGACCTTGTGGAACGTGCCTAGTCTTGTATACGCTGCCACAATATTCGTGATTTCCATTATTGGACCATAAGCTGGGTACATTCCCAAACGTTTCGTCGGCCTCGTCAGTTAGAGGCGTCATTGTAAGATCAGAGTTACAACTTATCAAAGTGACAAGTCTTGAAAACTTTCTGATTTCTGTACTATCTCAGCACCACATTCGCCCATCTTTTTTCCTCCCTATCAGTCTAAGGACAAGCCTAAGGCATTACTTGTCAAAAAAAATTAAATCCTTTAAAAATAAATCGTATCTGATGAGTCATAAGGCAAATGATCTTGATCGAATTCAAATTTAGTGTCAGAATCAATTGATAACGATCTAAAGGAAGACGGTAAACAAATATATTAAAATTAAAAAAGAAACTAAAATGGAAATCGTCAATAAAAGTTAGCAAATTTGTTTAAAAGGTAAAATTCGTTAAGAGTTTCTCGTGCTAGATTGTTAACGACTGTGATATATTTAGGAAACTTAAAGCAGGCGATAAAAAGAAACCAATCAAATTGTGTAATCTGTAGACTACATTTAAATAAAAAAAAAGCAAAATCTAGAGCCGATTAAAGGCATTATAGCCAAAAATAGTGAGGGACCTACTAAAATATAGACATCAGCATAAAGAACTAATAAGTTGGGAATCATCCTGTACATTCACCAAGCACCAATGACTTAAAAAACAGCACATTTAATAGCTGGTAATAAAACATTATAAGTAATAAAGTACGGGTATGGTCGTTTAAAAGTAGAAAATTAATTTTTTATGTGAGTTTATTTCCTGGTAGAAAGTGTGAATTTGAAAGGACTTTGTTTGGGACAAGAGTTTTATAATG